AATTTTCAGAAAGCATTTGACAAGGTGCCACATAAAAGGCTTATAAAAAATTATCTCAATGGGTGTGTGGGATAAGTTAGCAGATGGGATAAAAAAAGTGGCTGGATGGAAGAAAGCTAAGGGTTGTTACAAATGGAGTTCAGCCAAACTGGATTAACGTCACAAGTGGGGTACCTCAGGGCTCAGTCTTAGGACTGGGGGATCTGATTGAGGTTTTTAAGATTATAAAGGGAATTGATAGTGTTGATGCATCATCTTTTTTCATATTTAACAGTGAGAATAGTAATACTAGGGGACACAAATATAAATTTTGTCAAGGTAGGAGTCATCTTCAGCTAATACAGTTTCATTTTTCTAACATGGTGGTTAGCCTTTGGAATGGGTTGCCTTCGGATGTTGTAGAGGCAGTAAATTTAAGTGAGTTTAAGAAAAAGCTTGATAAGTATATGAATGATAATGAATGACTTTAAGATTTTTTTTATTCCTATTTTAATTTAGTTTAAGAGGATGGAATAACTGAGATGGATCAATAGGTAAAAAAAGTTGTTCAAGAACATTATGTTATGTTATATGTTAAGATTGTTTCCTATATTCAAAAGAAGTACAAAGCTTCTTTTTGTAACATTCTCATCATCATCATACTCCCATTACTCAATGGGAGTTCTCATTCAATGTCTGCAAATAGTTCTCATATATTGAAATATTGTGAATTGTAATAAAGAGTATATAGAACATCATAGAATCTCACTGTTGAAATCAGGTTAGACAGTAACTGTACCCAATTACCCCTGTTCATAATACTAACCATGCAATGCTTCTGACATGTTCAATGATGGACAATACATTCACAGAAGTGAAAGAAGGTCTTATAAGATGTTAAATTAACTAAAGTCCAAATGTTCATGCTCTCAGTAGGCATACATGTGCAAGAGTAACAAAACGTGTCCTATTAGTAGATGAGAAATACGTCATTGTTAAATACACGGATATTCATTGCAAATGCATGAAAAATTAAATAAGTAACATAGAAGGTATTTGAACAATTCTTTATTATTGATATTTTTGTTATTTTTTGGTCAATTTTCTGTAAAAATAGGTCTGCAACTTTTCTAAGGGTTAGGCTTGATAGGTCTTAAGTTTGGTCAGTTGACAACTGCAGAAACCATGTGAATGTTAAATAAAAGCATATCCACTATGATAAACAATTGTAAGGGCATTGTTAACACTCAAAGTGAAATGTAAAAACCAGTAAGTGAATTTGGATATAATATAGACCCACACTAAATGAATTACTAAAAGCATCTATATAGCCAATGAGAAAGAATTAAAACAAGTTTAACTCAACAGAAGATGAGCTATTATTTAAGTTAGAGAAGTTTTATTTTAAGAGAGACTTTTTTTTTTTAATGAGAAGTTTCAAGTCTGTGTGGCCCATAACTAAATCTGTAAATTTAGATTTTATACCTAGTAGTTTGACTCTGTGTTCCATGTGTGGAATTTGTAATTTTATAAATTGCCAACCTTAAACAAAATAGATTTAGCTTTTCATAAAAATTGAATAGGCACATCATTTGTAGGCCAAGAAATAGTCAAGTAAATCAAGTCAGAAATGTTTGAAAATGAACAAGTACAAAAAGTACAAGAACGTGCCAAATCTCTTGGTCAGTTTGCTTAGCACTTGAGATAATTTGGTAAGTATGTGTGATATGGATGGAATAAAAAATATATCTTTATACAAATCACCTAGGAAATTTGTTATGATAAAAATTGTTTAAATAACTATTATCATTAGACCTTAGGATTTCCTTTGATTGCAAGTTAAAACTAGCATTCAGTTTTCCTTCAAGAAGAAAGGAACAATGATGAAGTTTCTTGAGCATCATATCTTTTTCTTACAATAACTTAGGTCATATATATATATATATATGTATAATCAAATTTTATTTGTACATGTATGAGATTAGGAAAACAATTTACTGATGAAGTAAAATTTTAATCTTTCTCTTATGGGAAGGGAAGAACTAGAGATTGATCCAAGAGAGATCTTTTACAAAGTACGATGTGTGGTATTTCCATTTCCTTTCCTTGGCTACAAACGACACTTGTGCGAGACAGTCCTGACTTTTGGGGACCATTGCTTGTTGTTTTCTTATTTGCTCTTGTTTCCTTGTATGGACAAGCAAGCGTAAGTGAAATCAAACTTTCCAAAATAATAAAGAGTTTATATACATGATGTCTCAAAAGTAATGCTTTTTACATGTTGAGCAGTGAAAATGTAGGTCACAATTTTATAAATTGTCAAACTTCATGTCTTGAAAACTTTCATTCTTTGATCAGAAGAACACTCATCTTAAATTGTGATTAAATATATATATTATATACTGTAACTTAAATATTGGTTAAATCAGACAGCTGGGATTTATATAAGGTTAGCTATTTCTGTAAAACAATTTGTTAGATGGAAGCTTATTTCAGAAACAAGTTACAACTATTTAAAGATTGATGTTTGGGTCACAGTTTAAATTAATTGAGACAAAAATTGAGTTAAAACTATTTATTGTGCTGACCTTTAAAATATTAACTTAGAATATTATATTAAAACTTGATCCTGGCTATGGCATATAAATATTTTTTACTAAACTAAAAAAGAAAAAATCACAATTTAATAAAGATTCAACATTCTTTTATTTATGTGATGAACTATCATCATTGTCTGTATATAAAAATTATAAGTTATGAAAACAGAATATCTTGTAAATGTATACCACTTACCAGTGTCTATAATAAACCTAAAATAACTGTCTTCATTGGAAAATTTCATAATTAATTGGTTTACATTTAATCTTTCTAATATTGTGATAATCTACAAATCTGATAACATATCTATACTAGGTCGCTTCATGGATCTTGACACTGTGGGTGTGTGGGTCACTTGTTGTTTTTCTTCTGGCTCGAGTGTTGGGTGGCGAGGTAGGACAAACTTTATGTCAATTTTCAAAAATAAATTGTTGTGTTACCTGGAGATTTATTGAATAGCATCATGATGAAAAAGTATACTTGTGCAACTTGCTAAAGTTTTTGATAAATTTATAGTAATTTAGACATAATATAAAGTTTGTATAATTCAAGAATGCAACATCCAATTTAATTTTTATGCTCATTTTGAAAATAAACATCTAATAAATAGGAAGTTTAGCTATGAATATTATATTAAAACTTGATCCTGGCTATGGCATATAAATATTTTTTACTAAACTAAAAAGAAAAAATCACAATTGGTACAGCATGCCTTGGATAATTTGCTTGAAAACCAATGGAAAAGTCTTAAGTATTTTTGCAGTTTAATTAAGCCTAAATTTTCTTTGTAATTACAAGTAATCTTAAAGGTTGTCAAATTAGGCCTAGTTTTGAAAATTTTTAAAGTATCTTGAGCCCTGGTATTGGGTGAAAGGTTGTCTTATTATATATTTTTCTTTGCTTTCACTTGTGAATGATTTTCTAAGCTAGGAATGTGGTTAAAATTGTATGGGAATCTTACCAAAGTGTATTTATTACAGGTCACCAGAAAGTAAGAAGCTAATGTTTATTGAATGCTAAATAATGTATGTGGTATAATGCTTGTGATCTTAGTGTTTTGAATGCAATATTTATTTCACTCAAAACAGTATTTTGCATAATTTTATATTTTTCAGTATCAATTTTTATTGTACAACTTATTACTAGCAATAGGTATACCAAACATATATAGTGTATGTAGTAATTATGCAAAATAAGAGAGATTGTATTAGACTGTTAGTTTAGAAGCAGTCAACTTGAGTTACCTGTTCACACACATTCAAGCACAAAAATATTTAACTCTAAAATACTTATACTATTCCAATAATTTGAATGTATGTTTAATTGCTCAACTTTTAGTAATATCAAAGATATTTTCATTCTCACCTACATTTTTTTAGATGTATTTATTATTATGTTTCAGAATTTGTTTACAAACTGTTTATTCACTGTAGACTATTTGACATAGCTATTCCAATTCTTATATCCCTCGTCAGTATTCAATTTCATAGACACACAATGAAGAAAAGAGAATGCATTTAATATGCTTTGTATTATAAATTGAAAAACTATAAGCCTTTAAATGTTTATATTATCTAAATTCACATATTCTGCTAACTCAAATGCTGATGATAAATACACTCACAGCAAGATTTTTTTAGTGCTTGTGTTCAAAAACTCAGTGTGGTTCCTTCTTGGAAATCATAGTCCAAGTCTTTGTATGGAATATAAATAAAGTACATTTTTATGTTTTTTTTAGGTGAATTATTCTCAGTGCCTTGGAGTTATTGGTTATTCTGTACTGCCTTTAATCATCACAGCTACTACTTTACCACTTTTAAGTCCTTTCCCTTACATTAGTCTTTGGGTAAAGGTAAGTCAAGTAAACTTTGCCAAAATATACATCTTAATTTTATTTTCTTTATAAAAACAAGTTTGATAATTCTACAGAACAGTTGTAACCCATAAATTATCTCAAAATAAAGCAGTTATTGCCTGCAAGGAATATAATTTAAAAAGAAACCATCAAAATTTAAAATATCATCTCTTTTTATCTCAATAATGACTTTTGTATAACATATATATCAAAATGAATTCAAATGAGGTGTGCCTTAATTTTGAGTAACAATTCTGTTATTTTATATTTTTTTGTGAATTAAAAATAGAAATTATTAATTTATAAAAAAATGTGTTTTGAATTATCATAAAGTATAAAAACCATGCACTAGATTTTGATTGTTAAATAGTAATTCCTTGTATTACTTCGAACACTTTTCTTTTTTCAGTTTATGGGAGTAGTGTGGGCCACCTATAGTGCGGGATCTCTTTTATGTGTGCATGAACTACAGGACAAAAGACCACTTTTATTGTATCCAATATTTCTTCTCTACGTGTATTTCTTTTCTGTCTACTCTGGAGTGTGATGTTTATTTCTGAATTCTGATCTACAAGAAAATGTTTGAAATGTAGCAGTGAAGTCAGAAACTCCTAACTTAAACAGCAAGTCCATCTTCAAACTAGAAGTTTTTATCTAAAGACTTACTAACAAGTTGCATAAGGAATGGTGAATTTATGTATGCATCTCTTTCTCAAGATATTGGAAGTGTATATTCTGATATTTGTTGTTGAAGTAAGTTGGTTACCAGTTGTCTATTGTTAATCAATAATGGAATTTACCCATAAAACATTAATATTTTCCAGTGGCACATCCTTTTTTGCATTTAACAATTAACATTTTGTGATAAAAACAGAAAATATTTTTAAGTTACTAATATCTAAAATGCACTGAAGAAACTGTTTGCACATAGTCTATTGTGTCAGTTTACCATATTATATAAGGTATGTTTTATTGTTTCAGCTTCATGCTCTGTAGAAAATGGTAGAGTTGATGATGTCTTTCATTTCATGCATGTGTTTTTATGCATACTATAATGTGATCAGATATTGTTGATTTCAAGACAAAACAAATTAAGACTGTAAAATTTTCTTATAATTTTGATATAGGTACAGACAATATAATTTGAGTTTGTCTTTTATTTGAACCATTTATGAACTAATCCCATATCCAACAGCAGGTGGCTCTAACTTGTAGACCTATACATTGAAGCTTATATAGAAGAACTACTTGAAATTAATAAAAAACGATTAGGTAGTTAAAGAGTTAGATATTTCATTTTTATGGTGCAAAATCAGTAATATAAACCAATTTATTCATCCATTTATAAAATCAGATTTGTTCAGAATAGTAATTTATGTTAGCCGCTTTTACAGTTGTAATTTGATGAATCTGCTCAAATATGTGGGATTCTCTCATTCTTTTTTAACATATTAACATAAGAATCATATGAAGCAGCAGAATGAAGTTTGAAATATAACTAAAAAACATCAAATGATTTATGGGTAAAGAGATAATTACAAGTTATATGTGTATAATTTCTTAAGCACTGACTGATGGAAGCAGTTCTTCATACAGTAGTTCAAACGATAATATATTATAGGAATCTCTGTTGTTTTTTTATAACTACTTCAAAAGTTAAAGTTTCTAAGTTAAGTGATTGTGTGTTTTTGAAATAAAAGAAGAATAAAGTAAAATATTTAATTTCTAAGTTTGAAAGCTTAAATAAGATGTTTTGAATTAAGTATGAAGTGCTTTTGAACCCTTTTATAAGGTATAGAAAGTTCATGTACAGTTTGCTCTTAGACTGATCATAAAAAAACACATTAAAGACTGAGGCAGAGCCAAGCAGCAGATTAGGCCTGACTTTTGTGAGTTTATCACTTGTACCTTAAATTAATAAAGAAAATGTGTTGAATTGTTGAAAAGAGAATTTTATTATATAGTGAAGTCCTGATTAAGTACAAGAAATACACAATGAAGTATCTGTAACACTACTGTCACATATCCACTAAAAATGATTACAGCTGTGTTTTGCACAATACTGATGTTGTTCTTGTACAACTGGTTGAGAAAATTTTAAATCATTATATTATTCTGACCATAACAGTGTGACAGTAAAGCTGAGTGCTTTATAATTACAGTAGAAAGGAAGACTTAACATGGTGCTGAATATTTATAGTTGATGTCCACAATGTAATTTGTAAAAGAAGGCTCTTACAACTTTGGGTATACTTTGCACAGTAAGCAAAAGGAACTTTCATAGAAACATGCTTAAAATATAATTATTAATGTATATAAGTATTGGCTATGATTGACATAGATTTATTTTTAGGGAATTTCAATATAATGCCACTGTATGTGAACAAATTGCAATGTACATTTATGTTTTTTTAATTTAAAGTATATTTAAATATGATGATCAATATATCTCAGTTTTGACTATTGAATGAAAATTTTAATTTGTATGCAGGTTTATAGTTTTTGACCAAGAAGATGTATGTAAAAATGACCATAACAATTACATTAGTACTTGCTTACTTAAACCATATTGAAACTAGTCTTACGTAATAGAAACTGCTCAATGAATTCTAGTGTTTTAAGACTAGTGATAAATATAGATATATGCATTTTCTGCATGTTTTAAAAAATGTATAAGCATCACATTATAACAAAATTTAATTCGTTCCAGGCAGTTAATGAAACTTTCAGAATTTGATTTAAAACTGATTTCAAGGGGAACTAAATATTTTTTTAATTTCTTGGTGCAAATTCAGTGCTTTAATTTTAAGTGTGAAGAATTTCGATAAATTACTCTTCATCTTTTATCATGGCAGCTAAATATAGTTTAAAGTAAAAATTCTAGGCTTAACAACATGCATTTTATTTTTTCATAAATAATTAAATAAATTAAATTAAGCTAAAAGATGATTATATTAAGTGTAAACCAAGGTTAAAATGTAAGTGTATTCTAGAATAAATTGAATTCGAAGATAATCATGATTATCCAAGTGTGTGTAGTTTGAGTATTAAAAAAAAATTAAAAGATCAAATCTGAAACCTCTAGGGTTGCTTATCCATTACTTATTTTTCCTGTACCTTGCATTATCAAGATCTTTTAATGCATATTCATAATATTTCTTACTGTTGTACAAAAAAAAAAGATTCCATGAAAGATTTCATTAAATGCACATCAATGCTCACACATAATGTTTAATTGACCTATGAGGGATTATTAGTTAAACTACTTGAGTATGTAATACAGCATATTACTTAAATCAGACTAAACTTATGTTGAATTAAAAAAACTCTTTATATAGTCTTTACAAAGTTTGTTCAATATACAAACATTGCTCAACCAGGACTTTTTAAGAAGGGGCTTTACTTTCAATCCAGATAGAGAAAGACAGCTAAAAATATATGAATACAATTTAGTAATTTCACTTAAAACAAGCAAATGAAATACATCTATCAAAAATAATTTCTTGCCATTCTATAAAGTAAAAAAAATCAAATGGAATGCTACACGTAATTTGATGAATGCAGTTTGCATGAATGTTAAAAATTCTCGACAATGACTTGTCAAGGCAAGAGTGTCGATCATCTGGTCCACAGAGATGTTACATTCGAGATGTACTGACAATAATGCCAAACTCACAGTTGAAAAACTGAAACAAAGCTTTACATGTCTTTCATTTATATTGTAATGACTAACTGAGTGAATAACAAAAAAAGTATATATATTTCTCATGGTTTTAAAGTGGTACACTTTAGAGATAAGTATTCAGTTTTTCCTAATATCTATTTCTTTTGTACAAGTTTTAAAAGTTAATGGCTAAGAGGAGGGCTCAAGCTCTCCCCTCTATTGTATGTATGATGATCAATAAAACAATAATTTGGAAATAGTTTTAAAATTTTCCATATTAGTTGTAATGCTACAATTAAATTTACATACATTTTAACAAGTTTGAATATTTAATTAAGAAGAACATTTGTATTTTTTTAAACATAACTTTTAACATTTTCATAAATCACATGCTTTGATAGAGAGTTGTTTAGAGAATGTCAAACCATTATTAAGTCTGTTTCATGAAAAATCTGATGTGATATGTTTCAGGTGAATTTGAGACTTTTGACCATGTTCATCACATTTGTAAGTCACACAACTTTGAATCATACTATTATTTTATGTTGAACCACTAATTTGTTGTCAAGTGTATTATTAAACAAAAGAAAAGTGGTTTATAAGATGGGAATTTTCAAACTCTGAATTTCTTTATTTACATACATTCTGTTTGCCTTTTCCAGTATTGAAAACCTCAGAAAATTTTTTTAGTCTTGTCAATAACTCACTCATAAAATTGTAATATTTCACATGTGTACAATAAGTATTCACATTCCACCTTCAGTCATTTTCAGATTCATTGGAACAGTCAAGCAGCATTTTGGCCTTTTCAGGCATGGAAGCTGTTCTTTGAGTCTGTGCTCCTTTTTCTGTTTGAGTCCAATGAACCACATTACTAATGATACATGTGTACAGCACCCACTAATTTTGCACCTATGTGACATGGGCAACAACAGGATAGTATAGATGGTCATTCTGACTGTCAAGTTGAATCAGAGAAATTACACCTTGGTTGAATATGGCAGGTCTAAATCTTTGAACAGAGAACTTTGTACCTTTCACTACTGACCCACACTTCATTCAGTCTATCCTTAGGTAGGTGTTCCTGTATATTTGATACTGTCTGCATAAGTTGGAATACACTCAATGTCACTAAATGAAGAGAAATGTAAACAATCCAAAGCTGCATTACCTGCTTCATTTTTTTTTTCACGTCAACTTCTTGTGCACAAATCTCCAAACTTTATAATGTGTTGGGTTGTTTCACAACTTTCAGCATGCATTGTATGACAGCAAAATCATGTGTTTTGTATGAGAGCAGATTGACAACATTTACAAAAAAAAAAGGCAATTCTTACATAATCCTATCTAAAAGAAATCTTTAGGTTTGGAAATACAATATCTGTTAACTTTGCTTTAAGCTATCATTTGCTACTTCTGCTATCTAAATACATTTATGTAACAAGCCTTGAAAGATTGGAATATTTTGTAGGATGCTGGTTTTTGCAGAATTAATAGTATCTAAGTTTCATACCTAGTTAATAAAGAAGGTCCAGTGCACCTGTTTTAAATTCTTTATCCACAGCAGCCATATCCTGTGGTTGTATACAGACTAGTTTGACAAGTATCCACTACTTATATGTACTGTTACTTCATTTCTGGAATGTGGTTGACCTTCAGTGTGATCTTGACATTTGACTTGCTTCCAAATTCAGAGACAAGAAATATCAGTTCTACCAAATGTAATCAATAGATGAAAGATATTGAGTATGAGCTTGACCTTGAACTTTGACAAACATTCGTTAAAATTTAATCAATTTGTCCTTTGGTCGCACTCAACCATTGTAACAAATTTGATCAAAATCAAATGAAAACATTTTGAATTATATGGTTGATTGAAAGAGTGCCCTGGACCTTTAATGTAAATTAATTAGTCCCTGAGGCACATTCAACAACTGATTGAAATCAGATGAAAACTCTCAGACTATGTGGTTGACCTGCAGTGTAACCTTGAACTTTGACCTACTTTCAACAAAAATAATTAGTTCATTGGGGTCTAAGCTTTATAATATCATCTGAATTTATTTAGATGAACACTTTTCCAGTTATGTGGATGACCTTCAGAGTAAGCTTCATTTATTACCTACATTGAAACTAAGAAGATCTTGACTTTATACATACATTCAACAAAAATTAATCAACACAATAATTGTATGTAATTAGATTGAAATCAGAAGAAAACTTTTTGATTTATGTGATTGATCTTTAAGCTTGACCTTGATTAAGCAAAACTTAATCAATTGGTTCTTTAAGGACACTCAATAATTGTACAAATTTGATCAAATTAGAGAAAAAACGTTTGACTTAAATGGTTGACATTCAGAGTGGATTTGAACTTTGATCTATGCTCAAACTAGATCAAAAACTTTTGGAGTTATGTGGTTTACTTTCTGTTTCACTTTGAAGTTTGAAATCAAAAACTTTTTCAGTAATGGCTTTGATCAAAGGAATGAGACTGGATCTTTGGTCTTCATTCACCAAAAGTAAATTAATTGGTCCGTAAGGTACATTTAACAATTGAACGAAATTTGATCGCAATCACATTAAAACCTTTCGAGTTATGTGGTTGACCTATGGTGTGACCTTATTATCTTACATTCACCAAAAGATAAACAACTGTTCCTTGGGGGACACTCAACTTTAAAATCAAAGTTGATGAAAGGTTTTGAGTTCAGTCATTAACGTGCAATGTGAACTACATATAAACTCAGATAAAACTTTTGTTATTTGCAGTTAATTTTCAGTATGACCTTAAACTTTGAGTTACCTTTAAGCTCAGATGAAACCTTTTCGGAATATGTGTTTAATCTTCGATGTGACCTTAAATTTTGATCTACATTCAAACTTTTGAATATTCGCCAAAAGTTAAACAATTGGTTATTTAAGGGCACTCAACAACTATAGAAAATTTGATTGAAAACATTTCTTGTTATGGTGTTGACCTTGAATGTGAACTTCAAATTTGACATACATCCAGGAAAAGTTAATAAATTGGTCCTTTAGAAACACTCATTAATTGAATGAAATTTAATTAAGATGAAAATTGTTCGAGTTATGTGATTTATCGTCAATGTGAACTTGAATTTCAACTGTATTCAAATTCAGATGACAACGTTTCATATTATGTAGATGACCTTCTGTGTAATGAATTTTGATCTAAATTCTCCATAGTTATTCAGTTTATCCCTGGGGACACTCAACCTATGTAACAAATTTGATCAAATTTGAATGAAAACATTTCTAATTACGTGGTTGACCAAAAGATTGACCTGGACCTTTGAGCTACATTCACCAAAAGTAAATAATTTTTCCTTGGGGCACACCAAACAGTTGAACAAAATTTGATCGAAATCAGATGAAAACTTTTGAGTTATTTGGCTAACTTAGTGTGATTTAACTTTGACTCACTTTAATACTCCGATGAAAACTTAAGTTTTGTGTTTGACTTTCAGTATAAGCGTAAAATCTGACCTACATTCAAACTCGGATGAATACTTTTATAGTTTTGTTGACGATCTTCAGTATAATACTTGAGTTTAGACCTACATTATCCAATGGTTAATCAATTGGTCCTTTAAGGACACTCAAGAATAGTACAAATTTCATGACAATCAGATGAAAACGTTTTTATTGAAGTGGTTGACCTTCTGAATCAACTTGAACTTTGACCGACATTCAAATTCGGGCGAAAGCTTTTCGCATTATGTGGCGAACCATTACTATAGCCTTAGAACTTAACCTACTTTAAAATAGGCCCGGCATGGCCAGGTGATGCACTCGACTCGCAATCTGAGGGTCGCGGGTTCGAATCCCCGTCACACCAAACATGCTCGCCCTTTCAGCCGTGGGGGAGTTATAATGTGACGGTCAATCCCATTATTCGTTGGTAAAAGAGTAGCCCAAGAGTTGGCGGTGGGTGGTGATGACTAGCCGCCTTCCCTCTAGTCTTACACTGCTAAATTAGGGACGGCTAGCGCATATAGCCCTCGCTTTGTGCGAAATTCAAAAACAAAACAAACAAACAATACTTTAAAATATAGAAAAAGTTTTCGAGTTCACTGTTTGACATCCAGTGTGACTTTAAAATTTGATTTACATTCACCAAAACTTTAAAAAAAAATCTCTGAGATATATTCACCTTTCGTACAAAATGTGATTAAACTGAGATGACAACTTTTTGAGTTAATTAGTTAACCTTAAATATGGGCTTCATTCAAACTCAGATGAAAACGTTTTGGGATATGTGGTTAACTTTAAAATTTAACCAAACTAATCTAAGTTAATCAACTAGTCCTTTATAGTCAGTTAACAAGAATCGTTCAAATATGATTAACATCAGAGGAAACTTTTTTGATGTAAGTGGTTGACCCTCAGAGTCAACTTGAAACTCTGATCTGAAGTCAAACTCATGTGAATATGTTCGAGTTACGTGGTTGAACTTTGACCCATATATTTACGAAACGTTAAGCAATTACTTTTCGAGAATACTCAGCTTTTGTACGAAATTTGATTGAACTAAAATGAAAATTTCTCGAGTTATGTGGTTTACCTTCAGTGTGGCCTTGAACTTTGACCTATATTCACTAAAACTCAATTTTTTTTTCTTGGAACCTTATTTGATAAAATTAAAAATGAAACTGTTTGCATTATGCGGTTGACATTATGTGACTTTAAACTATCAAATGCATTCAAACTCAGATGTCAACCTATCAGGATATGTGGATAACCTACAGCGTGATATTGAAATTTGACCTGAAATCACCTAAAGTTAAACCAGTTGTTCCTTGGTGGACACTTAGCCTATACACCAAATTTGATCTCAGATTATAAATATTCGAGCTGTGTGGCTAATCTTCAGTGTGACTTTTACTTTTTACATACTTTCATCAAAACTTAATCAGTTATTCCTGGCGGACACAATCTTTGTGCCAAATTATATATCATTAATGATAATATCAGTATGAAAAAAGTCCAAGAATAACATAATAATAATATTTAGGGACAACAAGCGACCTATTGGACTATCTAGGCTGTCGAACCCTCCAAACTAAACTGAAACTATTTTAAGAAACCTGAAAGCCAGCCCATTTCATTCATATAGTTATCAAGCTTTCTCTTAAACTCACTTAAATTTA